ATATATAGAACAAGATGAGAATGCATATATATATATATATATATATATATATATTATATATATATATATATATATATATATATATATATATATATATATATATATATATGCGTACATATCTTGTTCTATCTCCACTTTTTAAGTTTTGATATAAAATGATTTATAAAACAAAAACTTTAGAAGAAGACGTTTAAAGAGATTTTTATTACTTATGTTTTCTCTGCAACTTTTTTGACTATAACTTTTTTATATAGTAGAAAAATATTTTTTCAAGGTACACGACAAAATCAATAACTCGATTTTTTTAAATAGAGGAGGAAAAAGTAATACTCTTATAAGAGCATTCTTTTTGATTATAATTTTTATATTAATAATAAATAAATTAAAATTTATTTATTATTATTAATAACTTATAAGTTATTAACATATTATATATTTATGAAATAAATTTAAATAACGTCATTGCAACAATGGAGAACTACTTATTTTCTATTTTAACATAAGAAGCCTTCAAAAAAAACTTTTGGTTCATTAAAAATGTTTTTATATAAAATAAATATTGATTTTTAAACTATTTTCTCAGCCATACAAGGTGTGATGACGAAAATATTGAGAACAAATACAATTTCCATTTACCTAACTATAGAGTGATTTAACACACCGGGGAAGGTGGGTGGGGGTTTTTACTTTTATTGTAATCTTACTATTTCATAAAGTCAAGCCAGATTTAAGTTTAGCCACCCATTGTTATGAAGTTTAGTGCATTAAACTTATTAATAAACATTATAGTTTATGTTTTATGCAGATCACCTTCAGAATCAGTTATATGGTTTATAACACCTTAAAGTGTAATTAAAAAAAAATTAAATAATTATTTAACGGTGATTTTCAAATAAATAAAAAGTAATAAGGTTAATAAAAAACTTTATTTAAATATTTTTTGTGTTGTGTTAACTCAGATAAGCTTTTACTGCCTACGGAATTGTTATCAGAATGGTATAAATAACGGAGTAAAACATTTCATGAAGTTTCATAATTTTATAAAATTTAAACTCTTTTTAACTAACTTGTTGACATAGGTCTTAAGAAAAAAAAAAATGCTTTAAAGTCAAACTATTTATAAAAGCTAGAAAAAGTTTAATGTTTATTTCGAGTCGAAAAATCACGTGGTTTTACGTAACTTTAATTACGTAGAAGAAATCGTGCGTAGATGTTACATAAATTAAGTAATTGGGTAAAAAATACATTTCAGTTTATGAATATTTTCAAAAATAAAATTTTAATGGCGCTAAAAACCAATGACTATACATACTCCGTGCGTTTGGAAAGATGATCCAACAGAATGTCCATCAGTTCTATACAATAATGTTTATGATTGTTTGATCAAAAGTCCTGATTTTTTATTGATATTATGGATAATTACAAAATATTAGATTCTCGTAAACGTTTTGTCTTTAGTTGGATACAAATAATTTAAGACATTGCGTACTAGTTACTTTGTTTTGAAAGCAGAAATAAGATCGACTTACAGAACCATTGATTGCTATTAATAAAAAGGGGTAAATTAACTTAAGTAACTGTAACTGCATGGCAGGACATAGAGTAATTGAAATAAAATATTCTTACAGTTTTAATGATACTTGATTTCCTTTTTTTGTAGATGATAAAAGTTTTTATGTAAAAAATTGCAATATAAAACAGTTTCATATTGGAAAAAACACATTTTTTTTTATTAGAAAGAGCACATCTTTATTTAAGTCAGGTACAACAAGGAACGTTTATATTGGAAATTTGTTATTGTGACTTTATCGTCTTGACTCCGATTGATTTTTAATTTCCTGATTTTATGGATGATATCCAAAAATACTTTTTTTGTCGTAAACATCTTTACTTTTTAAAAATGTAAAGATGTTTACGACAGGGCATTTTTTGGTCTTTTAGAAAGCTAACTTCCAGACATGGAGCTAACACGAAACATTTATATGTGTCAGATAATGAGGGTTTGCAAAGAATTGCGATAATTAAAGGCTGGGAACAAAAAGCCCCAAATTTTCGCTCCCCCCGCCCCAAAAGTGAGAGCAACAAGTTGATGAAATATTTTTTGTACTATTCTCAACTAGACTTATATTTATCCATAAATTTTAAGTTTCATAGTTTTAGCTCTCAGCGTTTAAAATTATGACCATATAAAATTAAACCAATATATTCAATAGCATATCGAGGACCTAATTTATGGAATATTTTTTAAAAAACTAATGCAAAAAACTAACTCAAACCCTGATGGTAAAATCATTAAACTTGTTTAAGTTTTAGGCAAAAAAACACATTTTTAATTTTTATTAAAATGAGTTTAATTATTATTCTTAGTGATTACTAATGATATATGAGCCTTTTAATGTATTAATAATTAAATCTTTGTGAATATGTTTGCGTTTATTTCTAAATCTTTGAATTCCTATATTTGCAATATAGTCATTGCAAAATATATTTGTAATGGTAAAAGTAATTTGCTTTCTTATTATATCTTTAGTTTATTTTATATTTTTTTGAATTATTACTTTTATATTTTTAATGGATTTTTATAACTCTTTTTAAATATTTTATAATTTGAAGTATTATTATTTTATTATATTAAAGGGCTCTATAAAAAGATTGAGGTGATATTGCATCATTCATATCTTCTTTGAGTCCCTGATATAATAATAATAATAATAGTAACAATAATAATAATAATAATAATTTAAAATATTTACAACAATCCGTAATAAATTTATAGATTTCTGAAAAATCATAAATGTTCGCCATTTTTAAATAACCAACGAAGATATGCTGCATCAGGCACCTCTATACTAACAGTCTTAAGATATTTGTGCACATTTACAACACAATTAACATACTTTTAGAACATAATAGAATACTGGAAACATATGTAAAGAGAGTTTATTTCCAGTTATCTTTTAAAATTCTTTTTTAACTGATTAGTTCATCTAGTCGCTTTTTTAACATATCCACCGAAGTCGCGTTTATTACTATTTGAGGCAGGGTATTCCATTGCAAAATAACACGGTTCGTGAAAAATTAAATATGTCATTTAAAATATGCGATAGTTCGTTGGTGCTTTAATCGGTAAATATGTCAGCTTCAGTCAGCGTTTAGGTTGTTCTCGTCAAAATCCACGGCTGCCAGAAGAGCCTGATCGTCAGACTCCGATAGCCGACCTCTTCGTGACTTATTCTCCAAGTTGGTATCACCAGATTTAAAAAGAAGAAAATCACTCTATACACAGACTTTTGCTGATTGTTCCTTTACCAAATAGTTTGTTAAGATCGCAAAATGACTGTGCTGCTTTCCATCCTTTTTTGAAGTGGTTGAGCATTATATGGCGAATATGACAATGGTTTTTGACACGCATTTTTCTAAAACAATAGAGAAGGTTATTTTAATACCAAAATAATAATTTTCACTGATGAAAAACGCACTGATATAAACGCGGGTTAACTATGCATCAACCTAGTTAAATATTAATTTGTTAAAACTTTAAGTTTTGCGTCAAATTAAATTGACGCAAAACTAAGAGCTTTAAAAGCTTGCGATTAACTGTAATTTAATAACCAATTAACTGTAACTAATTAATTAGTTACGATCGAAAAGTTTTAAACTTCACTGTACTCCGCGCACCATTTGTTAATGACATCAAAATTCTAGCGCATCGTTTGTTAATTCTAGACATCAAATTTGTTAATTTTTCAACTAAGCATTTTAGTTGTTTGATTGAAAATGTTGCTTGGATAGATAAGCGGCTGAGCAACTTATTCAGTACACTGTTTTTGATTAAAAAAATATGCAAATATTAATTCGTATTAAATTATTTTAATAAAATATTTGTAAACATTACTACATCGGTTTTGTTTCGCTTTATACTTCAATGAATTTAAAATAATGTATTTAAAACAAAACAAAAATCCAATTTAGAAATATTTGAGCAACTTTAAAAATGTTTAAAAAATAAACATATTTGTATTTAAATAGTTTTTTATACTAGTTTTTAGTGTCTTTTTGTAATAACTATTTTACAACCGTGTTGATAGCAAGTTTGTTTCTTTTTTAGATAAAAGCCAACCCTTTCGTTTACTGATTTTGCAAATAAACTATTCGAAGTTTCGATTATTAAGTATTTTGTGGACTTCCTATATTTAAAAGTTTACAATATATAATGCTTTTTATTTCATTGTAAAAAAATAGCCTTTGGCACTAATCCGTTGGATGCTATTAATGATTTTAATATTAATCTATAAAAAGATGATAAACTATTATATTCTCTTGAGATTTTAAACAAATACCAATATCGTGTAATTTTTATTTTGCAAATTAAAATTCTTCGCAGAGTTCCAGATATAAATTATACAAAGGCGTCGAAGAGAATGTAGATTTTTTAAAAATAATAATAAATGATGATAATAATTGTTAATAACTTCCTCTAAATTGTTATTTAAATGGATGATTTTAAAATATTATGTAGTTGTTATTGTAATAATATGCAATCGTTCCCATAACGATTATATTTGTCAACGAATTTTTTTTGTTAGTGATAAAATATAATAGCGGCAGTAACGCTTTGATATCATTGAAGATTCGTAAAAATCCTTTGTTCTAAGCTTTTTTGTTATTTTATAAACTTAAAAAAAAAGCTGTCCTTGATTATTGCTGATGCAAACCATTTCCAAGAAAATGGTTGAAATTTTTATTTTATTTTAATTTCGCGCTAAAATAATAATTCTTTTTTTAACCAATTAAAATTTAAATTACTTAAATTGAAGTCGTTGACAAACAATTATTAATAGAGAATCATTTTTACCTAAGGATGAAATTCTTTTAATTTTACACTTGTCAAAATATTTATTTTTATTTAATGTAGTTATTTACATCAAATACAAGTTTCTCATTTCGAAAAAAAATAATAAATAAAACGTTTTTATCTTTTTGTTGTTGAATGTGTTATTAATGCATAATAAGTATTGGTTTATTTAATAGACTAAAATTACAAAACGTACTAACTTATTTTTGGTTTCATTCAAATATGGTTAATGTTGAATATAAAGCTATCTGGAGTTTTAGGATGATTATCTGGGTTTTTTTTTCTATATGGATCCTCAAAACAGGTATAATTATAAATTGTATTATTAGTGCAAAAGCATAGTGCAAAAAGTTATTTAGCTAATTCAATACAAACTAAATAATAAGTCCTTAAATTCCCTTTTTCTTTTTTTTTTCTTTCTTTTTTTTGTATTTTAAAAATTTTCTAAATAGCATTTGTATTCTAGAAAGTGCAAAATGGGATGCCAGATTTTCAGTGTATACAATAGGCTATGGAAAAGCAGCTATAATGCGATGTACCTTTACTGATAAATTTGAAGGTTTTTATAGATCAAATAGAGAACCTATTATATTAAATTCCCGTGTTAAAGTATTAGATGGAGATGCTTATACAAAAATACTTGAAATTGATAATTTACAGGAGTCAGATTATGGCAATTATACATGTACTGACTCAACTGGATCTAATACAGCTTTATTAGAAATAGATGGTATGTTTAAAAGTATAATATAGGAATACTTTGAATTTCTTTTAAATTTACACAAGTATGTTTTGAAAAATCAAATTTTTTAATTACTCTTAATTTTTTTTCAGTCACAATTCCGTCAATATTGTCTCCCCAAAAATTTGTTTCTGGGTCTAATGGTTTTATTAAAGCACCAGTTTATGGTAAACCAAGATATAAAATAACATGGACCTATATTTATCCCTCTGGGGATAAATCAATTTTAGCTACTCTAGACAATGACGTTGCAGTAGCAGATAATGGTAAATATAGTGTTTCAACTGATGGTTTAACAATAAACAACATACAAAAAGCTGACAGCGGAGAGTATGAGGTATCATCATTAACAATTGGTTCTCGTGTTAGCCAAAAGGTTTTAGTTGATGTTGGTGGTAAGACTATAGTTATACTAGAAGTACTAATTAATATAAGCTAATTATTGCATTATATATAGAGTGAGATGAGATAATTTCGCCACTAGTTCTTTCAATTTGAGAACTAAAAATAAAATTTGAATTTTTTTATTATTGTTAATAATATTTTTTAGTAACTTTACACACTTTATTTTTTTATTTTTTTATTTTTTAAATAATTAGAACAGAAAAAATGTGGTGGCAAAATTACTCCAATAAAATCTAATTTAGGGGAATTTTGCCACCTATGTTATTTGCAACATAAATTTTTTGTTTTAAATCATAAATCTTAAAAACATATTTACTATCAGCTAAATAAAAGAAATCTAGCAATATTATAATAATATAATATAGGGGTCATGGCCATTGATACCGAGAGTTATTGGGCATGTCTCCCCTTCCACCTTTTTTACTTATTTTTTTGTCTTTTAGAAATGTAGGAGATTTTAGGAGATTTGTTAAAGTACCAGCCCCACCTATCCTTTCTGGATATTAAATTCTTCCTCCTAGTGTTCTTTGAGGTTACAGTATGATTCTACAGCTCGCTTGTAACTCACCAGCTTTAACCTTTGCAATGGCTTTTTCCATTAGCTCTTTGCTATAATTGGTGACAAGTTTTCTCTTGTAGTTTTGCGACATTGTTGCTGATAATTGATCGATTTAATTAATTTGAATTGATTATAAGACCAACATGACCTGAGAAATTAATTCCCAAAACAAGAGGAAGGGGAATATTACTTATCAAATTAAAGTGCATTTCATATAAATAGGTGGCAAAATTTCCCCATATAATATTTCCGTAATAACTTTGGAACCGATCAAAATTAGAAAAAAAAAAAAACAATGCAAAGAATCTTTAAAAATTTCCAATATTTAGTATTTTAAATTTTGAATGGAAATAAGTAATTTTATTTTTATGAGAATTTTAAATTGTTTTTTTATAGCTTATTTTTGTCAATTAGTTTTCTTATCAAATTATTTTTGTCAATTAGTTTTCTTATCAAATTATTACATAATTTGATAAGAAATTTGTTTTTCTTCTAATAGAAATTTGAATTATAAAAAAATCTTATTCCTTAGTAAAGTTATAGTAGATATATACCGATTGGTGGCAAAATTTCTGGTGGCGAAAAAGTAGCAAAATTACCCCATTTTACTCTATACTTATTAAAAATATTTTTTTTAAACTGTTTTTTTTTTTAGAAACTAAGATAATTTATTATAAATGTTAAATTATATCAAAGTTTTTACATAAGTTTAAATTTATTCAGAGAAACCAACTTTAAAGTCAAAAGGTCCGACACTACTTAATTCAACTGAGGGTTTGGATCTTTTTATTCCTTGTCTATGGAATGAACCAGTCAGTAATGAAACTTGGAAGTTTGAAAGTATATCTCCCAAATTCATTTCTGCAGTCAGTCCAAAATTATATAATGCATCTGGGCTTTTTTTAAGCAATCTATCAACTTCTAATGAAGGCAACTATACTTGTTTAGCATCTAATTCTTATGGAGAAAGTTCTTTCACAGTATTTTTATCAAAAGTATTATGTAAGACTTAAAGTCTATATTTTGTTATGAAAACAGTTATAAAACATTTTAATAAAGTATACAATTTTATTTTTTATAAAATGTACAGTTTTATATTTTTGTTTGTTATTATTATTAGCTATTCCAATAATAAGAGCAGATTCTTTTAATAATGTTGAAACTTTGCCACTAAAATCATTTGTTATAAGTTGTGCAAGTTATGGATCGCCTCCACCTGACATTGCAATCATAAAGCTTCAACCTTCTGCAACCATCTTGAAGGTGATCTTAATTGTCATTTTAAAAAATTTAAAAAAAGTTGTTGTAAGCGGCACTTTTAGGGAATTTATATATATTTAGTTTATATATATATGTATATATATATATATATATATATATATATATATATATATATATATATATATATATATAAATATATATATATATATATATATATATATATATATATATATATATATATATATATATATATATATATATATATATATATATATATATATATATATATACTGACTGGCTAGATAATGCATGCAAGGGAGTTCCCCTACAGTAATATATTTTTTTTCATTGTATTTTGGTTTTTTTAATTTTTTTCTGAAAAAAATGACCTGGAAGAGGATGCTAAAGTTAAGAAGGATACTTTTTTTGCTTTTATTTTACTCAATGATGTGAAACTCTGCACCTCTTGCTTTTGAAGCAAATGCTCTACTACTACACCACTACTTGGTGCAGCATAAGATGGTATTTATACTATATGAATAATTTAATTCCTTTTTTATCTTAAAATGTTTTTGGTTTTTTAGTCAGGAATTGGAATTGTAAACTACACAACTCCACTTGATGAAGCAAATAGTGGTGATTACTTGTGTGAAGCTCAGAATGGAGCTAAAAGCTCTGATGGCTCTGTGGTTGTAGCTAAAAAAAAGATGACTGTAGATATACTATGTATGCTTTATTATAAATTTTTGTATTGTGTTTAGTCTTGAAACAATTTTCATTATATATTCTGATTTTATAGCTCCTCCATATATTGTTAAGAATTTATCTACAACTATAGCTGTTTCCGCTGTTGGTCTTGACTTAAAGTTTGATTGTGTTGCAACTGGAAATCCGATTCCATCTATTACATTTGAGCATACTGCATTTCATCAAATTCCAATCATAACAAGGGCAAATACAACTAATATCTCCTCAATATCAATGGTTATTAAAAATGTCACAAAGGAAGATTTTTTACTTGTTAATTGCAAAGCAAAAAACAATATTGGGTTTGCTGAACATGAAATACAATCAAAAGAAGTTTGTGAGTACTAAAATTTCATTGTAATTCTTTTTATAAATTTTTTTTCCTAATCAATTAATTTTGTTAATTTATTAAAAATAATATTTTATTAGTATATAAAAATTTAACAGCTTACTTTTATCTAATTTACTAATATTTCAGTAAAACCCCCTACCCCAGAAGGTTTAAAAATATCTGGACTTGCTGGATTGGAGTACATAGACCTGCAATGGAAATCTGTAGTTACAGCAGATAAATATATCATATATGTTAATGATACATTGCAAATACTTGAATCATACAGCAATTATGTTACTGTAAACAATTTAAATCGTAATACTTATTACAATTTCAAAGTAGCAGCTCAAAATATTGCAGGGCTTGGATTTACTTCAGAATCTATTGTACTTAAGACTTCTTCAATTAGTGAGTTTATTTATTTTGGGGTGTCACTTTTTTATTTTGTATACCTATGTTTGACTTTATCAGTTCTATTCTTTCATGTTCCAAATCACAATAATATGCTGATGAGATAAGAGAAGCTTCTATAAATATGTTTTTAAATACTTTTTAGTTACAACCAATTTGCAAGCAGTAGCATATAAACAAAATTCTTTACTTTCTGATTTCAATTAAGCTATTAAAGCAATGTTGAGGAAGTTTTAACTAGATATAGTTTTGACTTACGCTTTAATAGCACAGTTTAATATTTTTGATAATATATTCAGTAATAAATAATAATTGGATTTGCATGTTGGAATATGATATCTTTTTTTTTTCTTCACTTTTATACATTCGTTTATTTTTTATTTTTTATCTAAGATTATTATTTATATATAATGACTTCATTATTATGAATTATCTTATTACCTCTGAAATAAAAATAATTTTAGAATCACATAATTTGGAAAACTAGCGTATGCTAGACTTTATTTACTTATTTTTGTGTTAGGGTAGTATATGACTATATTTCAGTAGTTTATATTTTGTATAAGACTTTTTTTTAAACCTGAGCTGATATAGTTCTATTAAAAAGTTTTTAAAACTGTAAAAGTTTTTTTAATCTTCATTCTATACAATTATCGATCAATCTGTTATTAATGTTTATTTTTTTAAATGGTTTTTATGTACAAATATTTGATAAAATGAGTTTGTACTTAATATCACTTTTTAATTTTAATATACAAAGTATACTTTGTAATATAAATAAATACTATATAATTTAACAAATAATATATATATATATATATATATATATATATATATATATATATATATATATATAATATATATATTTAGGTCCCAATGTGCAACCTTATTATTCATTTTTGTTATTTATCTATTAACTTTTTTAACTTTGAATTCAAAATTCTTTAAATTAATATTTGTTGTTAACAAAATTTATTATAATCATATAATCATAATCATATAATCTTTTATTATTTACCATCTTGATTTAATATCTACCACTTTACTTATTATTTACTTATATAGAGTAATTTATTTATTTTAGTGAAGCCTGGAATCCCCACTAATATTACTTCGGACCAGAGTAGTAGTAGTTCTGTTGTAAAATGGAAACCTCCTCAAAATGTATTGAGAGAAAAAAGCATTATTAGCTACTCGGTGACAGTATGCAAATTCAATAATTTAACAGATTTTGAATCAGATTGTATACAGCTAGATGAAACAAGAGAAACACAAATGATGCTTAACAAACTTAACAAAGCCACTACTTATAAAGTATCTATAACTGCATTAAACCAAGGTCTTAAAGGAGAAACAGCTGTTTTTATTTTTCAAACAAAAGGTATGTTTTATTAAATAAATTTTATTTAAGATTAACAATTTATTTTTTATAATTTATATTTTATTTAAGTTTATAATAAGTATAAATTTAGATTAGTACTTTATAAATTTGGGCGAGGTTAGTGTTTTGGCTATTTTGTAGTAAAATCCTTTTTTACTGCAGTATGGAGTAGGTGTAAATCGCGGGGTAAAGCATAAATAGCGAGGTAAAGCATAAATGCTGGTAATAATAAACACGATTCTGAGGAGAAGTTTATTACCACCACTACATAAATTATGATTACATAAAAGCAATAATGTTTTTTCTTTATCTTATACATCCTATAAATTTATGTTTATTCATTTTAAATACTGATATATCTATACATATCTATTTTTATCTTAGTATGTTAAACATATGTATTTACTGTAGATTTATGGTTATTTATGTGTCCTGTTTTGTTTTTATTACATTTCTTTTACTTGCGCAATGTCTAAATTATTATTATTATTTTTACTACACGCATACTACATTTCATAAAACAGATTTTTTACTATAGTATCTTTGTTTTTGTTCTGAACATCTGTTTAATATATATTTTTTATTATATATCCTTTCTCTTTCCTAAATTTTTCCTTATTTCACTCGGGCTTGACAGTTCGGTCTAGTTCTTCGATGCATATTTTTGCATTTTTTTAAATAAGTATAAATTTTTTTATAATTTGTATTTAATTTTAATTTAATTTTTATAATTTATATTTTGTTTAAGATTAACATTTTATTTTTTTATTTTATTTTTAGACGCTGAGCCCAATGTAAATTCTGCTCTCGGAAGAATGTCACTTGATTCAGGTTCTATTGCAGGCATTATAATAGCTGTTATGATGACAATTCTTGTTGTAGTAGACATTTTTTGTTGCTTTTTTAATAATTGTGGGTTTACACACTGTTGTTATGAAGCATTTTGCTCTTCAAAATCAACTAAGTATATACCTTCTGATGGTAAACGTAATGAGGAAAAAGAACTAAAACCGTAAGTTTATTTACATAAAGTTATTTTATTTAAAAGTTTTATATTATTTTAAAACATTTGTTCGCTGTTTTCTGCTTCTTAAAAATAAATTTTTCATGTTGAGAGTATTTTAAATATATTTATTTTTTTAGCGCTAAAGAGAAGTTATTAGAAAATGCAGTTTAATTTTCATATCACTAAAGTATTTATTTGACATAATGCTTTTTCTTCGCTAGATATTTTTAATTATTTTTTTTTTCAATGTAGATTATATTTACTAATATATTTTCCAAGTTTTTTGAAGGATTTTAAGGTTCCTGTATTTATGTTTTGTATATTTTTTCAATAGCATTGTTCAAAATTGTAATCTTTATTTTTTTTATGATGAAGTTGTAATTGTCATATTTTTTTAAGTTTCTTTATTTATAAAAAATCTCAATTAGGTAAAAAAAAAAATCTGTTTATTTGTTTTAATTCAAAATATAATATAGTTTTATTTTTTTATTTTAAATTTTTTATGTCTTTGTGTTCAGCTTTGAATAGAAATAACGAATTTCTTGCGTTTGACTTATTTCAATCATAAAACAGAGTTTTTAAAAAAGCAAAAATATTTTTAGATTTAAAAAATGTTTTTAAATTATTGTATTGATGATAATCTTTGAAATGTTTAAATGTTATCATATTCTCAGTTATTTGGTGTTCATTTATCACTTATTTGAGTCAATGATTTGAAAATCCAAATCCTATCTAAACCGTGAAAAAGTGAAAATTGGTTGAATATTTAAAAAAATATTTATATAAAAATGAATTAAAATAAAAAGTTTCACAAAAATATGTTTTTTTAAATCACTTGGTAAGTATCTAGGCAGATTATCACTTTTATCGCACAAGGAAATTTTATTCCGAACAGAAACGACAAGATAACAGTTTAAGCATGCACACTTTGTCCCATGCTTGAATGTTTTTCTTTTCCCTTCCATTTCGAGAAAAGTTTCGCTAAGTTCAACTTTTTCTTGTGATGCCACAAGGAAATTAGTAGACAGACTTATCAAATCGCTTAAAGAAGAAATTAAAAGCATGTATTTTTCTAAGTAGCTTATTACCAATATATTTGTAAATGTAAATGTTTTTGAAAGCGATTTAACATATTAACTTTGAAACATTTCCTATTGCATTTTATTATAGTATAATATAGTAATATATAACAGATTTACATAATTAGTAGTAATATAATAGTATATAATATGTCATATTCAGTATATACTATATAAAGCCAATAAACTAAATTATGGAAACTGAAGCTAAATCAGAAATTTAAAATAGAGAAAATGAGAATCCAACAATGTAAGTGATATTATTTTTTTTACTAACATTTTACTTGAAGTATTGTATATTCTAACATAACATTTTCTTTTTTTAACTTTGCACAGAAAATATTCCTGTAATTGCCTTACAAAAATGTTCTTCATAACTCTCTTTAATTCTCTCACTAATTAATAAGTGCTTGACTGAATCTTGTTTTCCTGTCTGCTTGAAAAAAGCATCTGTAATTCAAATTTTTTTAAAATCTGGAAAGCATTCTTACCCCTACAATTATCGTCCGTTCAGTCTTCTTTTTGTCATTAGCAAGGCCTTTGAGTCTTTGATCAACAAATTTCTCACATCCCATCTTGAGTCAAATAACTTACTGTCAGACAATTAATATGGTTTTTGATCCTCTTGCTCTTCGGCTGACTTGCTGTGACTGGCTGCTCTTCGGCTGACTGCTGTGACTGAAAGATTCTATTGTGCACTATTTGAAGGCGGTGAGACAAGGGCTATTCCTCTTGACACATCTAAAGTTTTCAATAAAGTTTTGCATGCTGGTCTTTTCCATTAGCCTGTTTCATATGGTGTATATGGGAAAATTTTTGAGATTATCAAATCATTTCTAATCATTTCTAACCATCTTATTGAAATCAGACAATCATTATGGTTTCTTGCTCTTCTTATTGAAGTTATTCTTGAAATCTAAATCTTTTTCATTTCCAATCACCTCTAGAGTACATCAAGGTTTCTTGTTTCTGTATTGTTTCTTATCATTAAAGCTCTTTATGACAACCTTACATCTAAAATTGTTCTATTTGCTGGCGACTCAACTTTATACTCCTGTCGGTCACTTATAATGGTAATCGTTCTTAAATTATTATTGAATCAACCCTCTCACTGATTCCTTTTCTTTATGTTTTTTCAGATTATTGTTCATTACTGACTTCTCATGGAAACTATATATATAATTGATTACAAAGTTAGCATCTACTAAAGTTGCTTTGTTTTATCGTGCTTGCCATTATCTTACTCCTGACTGCATTCTCTACCTCTTCCAATCAAATCTATTTGTCCCTGTATATAATACTATTGTCATATTTGGGCTGGTTTTTTTAATTATGTTCTTTATCTTTTAGATAAAGTCCAAAAACACATTTCAAACGTAGTTGGACCTGCTTTATATGCCAATCTTGAGATACTCTTCCTTCATCGTAAGGTTGCATCTCTTACTCTTTTCTACAAATGCTATCATAGTCAAAGAAGTTGTCATTTCTAGTTCCATCAATCTAAACTTGTTCTTGCTTAACTCGTCATTCAGCAAACTTGTATCTTTTTACTGTATGTATGTTTTTACATGCTTAAAAACTTTAATTTGTCTAGATTTTTTCTCCTCACTTCAACCCTTTAGAACTCTCTCCCATCTTCATATTTTCCTGAGTCATACAATCTACAACTTTTTAAGTCTTCTGTCAACCGTTTCCTTGCTCTTTAACTCCTCATTTATCTTTTGTTTCCTAGTAACTCCCAACTTAATTGAGTGAATATATATATATATATATATATATATATATATATATATATATATATATATATATATATATATATATATATATATATATATATATATATATATATAATGTATATATATATATATATATACTCTCGAGTTCCTAATAAACGCCCCCCCCCCCTTTATTAATTTTTTGAAATTTTTCCCACCCACCCTAAACTTATTAAGACCCCCCTTCCCCTCGTTTATTAATTTTTACTTGTTATCAACAAAAAAATTATATCTCAAAAGTAAAAAAAAAAATTCAGTGAAAATCGGCCTTTAAAATTTGAAAATAATTTTTAGTCACCGATAAAAACAAAAACTTTCAGTGTAAACAGGTTTTACAAATTGTCGACCTTTTACATCTCGATTTGCTAAAAATGAACTTTTAGTTTATTTCTCAGCAAAGGTTTGGTTTTAATTATAGGATTTAATATGCTGAATATAAGTTTCATACTTTGCAAAGTATAAAACTTATATTAATGGTATATTTACATTAATAAATTTTTTTTTTATTTTACACTGTGTTTCATCAACAAAGACTCATCAGAAATTTCTGATGAGTCTTTGTCGATGAAACTTATATAATATTAGCATATTAAATTCTATTGAAATTACCATAAAACAGCCTAACCCTACCCTAACAGTTGTTAAAAAATGCGCTTTTGACTTAAACAAGCATAATTTGCATGCCAAATAAACATGCTTCCCCCCCCCCCCCCCCCCATTTATAAAATTTCAGAAAAAATCTAACACCTTCCCCCCCCCCCCCCGCGCTTATTAGATTTTGACTAAAATTCCCATACACCCGTTTACTCCCACTCCCCGTTGTATTCGGCACTCGAGATATATATTGTATTTTTTTTTTTTTTTTTTTTTTTTTTGCGTTGTTCAACCTTACAGTCTATAAACGTGAGCGGCGTTCACCTTTTATTGGGAAAAAGTGAACTTTTTTATTGGCAAGTGCACGTGAACAGCAACCTCAATTTTTTTCGTTTGCGTTTATACATTTGTTGAACCTTACACCCCATCCCCCTTTCCTTCTCCTTCCTATACGCACTTGTTCACAAATAACAAATTAGGACATCCCCCTCAGTGCGTACGCAGTATATTGATAGCCCATAATGGCATGTGAATTTTATATTACTTGTTTATCAATTATTTGTCATAAATGCTTGATATGAACATTAAAGCACACTTTTAATGGTATATAAGAATCATGATACTTATATACGGTTATAAATGTTTTGTTAATTGCATCATTTATATAGATTTGTTTTATATAGACTTTGTTTACTTTTAATTGTTTATTATATTTTAAAAACTTGTAATCAATTTTTTTATTTAAAGTGTTTCATAGAAAAGCCGCATCTCCAACGAATGCATAAAAAAGAAAGGCCGCATCTCCAACGAATGCATAAGGGTATTTAAGATAACAGCTTGAATAAACCTTTCCTTGGAGAACGATGAAAATACATTAGAAGAAATTGTGAGAATAAATATAAAGAAATTTCGTCTGCGCGCAATTTTTTCTCAAACTTTTTTTATAAGATTGATTAATGAAATAAAAGCATAAAGACGAGAACGACAGAAGCAAGAAGAAGACAAAAAAAAATTGTCTACGTGCTTACTATAGTTAGCCTTAAGTATTTTAGATAATAGCGATTTTTTTTTGGCTTAAATATTCCCATAGCTCTATTTTAAGTAATACGAAATTTGGTCCAAAACGTCCGCAATTTTTTAATTTTTATGAAAAGTTGCAAAAAATTAATTAAAATCTTTATCATTGAATTAGGGTTATAGATATATATATTTATGTATTTTTTTATATATTATATACATATATATATATATATATATATATATGTATTTATTGTGTTTTTTTATAAAATCTGCTCTTTTAAAGCCATATTGATATTGAAATTTATTTAAAAAACTAGTACTAAAACTAGAAATAATCAGCTGGATAGACTAAATGACGGTTTCCCTAACTATCAATGCTATTACTTATAAAGATGAATTTCAATTGGATCTCAAATTCCAGTTTACAACAATCTGAATTACAGTTAAATAGTAGTTTTAAGCAAAATAAACATAAAAATCACTATTTTTTTAATGAAACTTACAACACATATTTACGACATCAGTCATCAGTATATATTTACGACATCAGTCATCAGGAGGTATATGTTGTAAACTGGAATTTTAGATACACACATTATGAACTCGTGTGTAAACTTTTAGATCACAAGATGCATCATGGATAGATATTCCACGAGTTCGATAATAAGTTGTTTTATCGGTAAAAAGATAGTTCAGAAACCATTATGAATTTTTTATAATAGCATAAATCATAGAAAGTAGGAGAAAATCAATCAAAAATAATCGCCGTGATACAAAATTAGGCTCATTTTCGAAAACACAATTCTTTAAAAATATTTGAATTAAAACGTTATCGATAAAAAATTTTTTTTCGTATTTCATAAAAACTTTTTAATAGCTAAAAAAATTTCAAAAATTTAAATCTAATTTTGAAAATCAAGTTTATTTCGGAAAAAAAGATGCAATTTCGATGAAATTAATTTCAAACATTTAGATGAATTTCGAAAGTTACATTAAATTTAAAGAAAATAATAATAATGAAGTACTTTGATTAGCTAAATTATTTTCACAAAAAAAAATAAACATTTTACAAAGCTAACTAAATTTTGAAAAAAAAAAAAATAGTTTCGAAAAAAGGAGTGCCTATTCGCGCATTCAGTGAACGCAAACATCTACTTTTTCACATAAAAAATACACAGCGTTAATTTTAAGCCAAAAATCTTTCAGAGCGAATTGATCGCGCGACTATTAAAACTAAATGTCGTGTAGACTGGAATATTAATACGTTTGGTTCAGTCTACACTAAAATATGCAGTTAAGTAAACAAAGGATCATGGCTTAATAAGTCAAAAGTTGAATGTTTTAACTTGTTGAAGTATGAATTATATATTTTTTTTCATGGAAGAATATATGTATTTTTATAAATTTTCCGTATTATTTTAATCATAATAAATGAGTCTACAAAAAGATGCTCGATAAACCACTCTGTTACCTCTTTTATACACACTGTTTTACATTCAAATTTGATACTTGCATTAATAACTTTCTTTTTTTAGCTAAAGATTTTGAAAGTTAATAAATATATCTTGAGATATCTTTTTTTTTTTTTTTTTTAAAAAAATTGACCATTTTGATTTTCAAAAGTCTTAAAACCTAGAATGATGAATAAACTTTAAAATCTCTAGCTAAATATGGACCTAACACACTAAGGACCATTCGCGGAATTTTTTTTATAAATGAAGTAAGATAAGTATGAGTTTATCTCTGTTGTTTCTATGTGACTTTTTGACTAATTTATGAAAAATTGGCAGCTATTTTTCAAAAATGCTTTTTTATTATTTGACTAAAAAAAACAACTATTTTTAAGGCTTTATCTTAAATGTTAAAATCTAAATGTTGTACAATTTTTATATTTATTTGTCACTTGTCATTTAAATAACTTTTGTAAAAATTTTATAGTTGACAAAATATATTTTGTAAATATAATATTTATTAGTAGGTATAAATAGCATATATATAAAATAGTCAGATAAATGTTTACAAATATCTTAACTTGCAACTTGTGACTTGACCTCAATACCTCAGTGTTGTCCGTGTTTAACCGAGAAATGCAATATGATTATTTAATGAAGTTCTTAATGCAACTAAGACATGGTACATGCTTTTCCGAACATAAACTTAAGTTTTTTCAATTACAATATATGTAAGTTTTTTAAAAAGTATGAAAATTGAAGTTATTATTTTCAATACCACACCTAAATGAGTAAGTTTAACAATAATGTCACGTTAGATTCAGATAACCTATGGTAATGTTAATTTTTCTACAAAAGTCGTTTTGTATAAAAAATCATAACTTTCAGCCCCATTTAAAAAACTGTTTTCAGTATTTAGTTTCATTTTTTGAAATACTCGGGACTTAATAGACCATCTTGAAAAATAATTTATTCCATTTAGAATGCGTAAACGATTAAAAAACAAAGGCGGTAAACTTTATAAACAAATTATTTTCATTTTTGAACTCGTTCAGGGCCGACGACACGGGTTTCGAAGTGGGAGTACAATCGTCAATTCTTAAAAAAAGACGTCTATATCAAGAATTTTTTCATATTTAAAAAAAAAAAGTCCTTTAGAAAAAAGTTGGGGGGGGGGGATGCCCCTAGCCTTTATTGTTATAAAAACAATTATATCGGTAGGCTCTCTTATTCCGACGCTGTCCTTAAAGTCCGCGAAATGGCGAGTTATAACGCTTTAAAAATTTCGCGATGGAGTTGCTACGGAGTTTATTTTTAATTTTTTTTTTTTTTTTTATCAAGATGCTCTAAAAAATCCTAATTGTCTTATCACAGCGCACCGCCACAAGGAGAATACCATTTAATAAGTTGGCTTTACTTTTTATTATATTTTGCTTAATTATAAAATCAAATACTTATAATAAAAATAAAATATTTAGTATATAAAAGTTTTATAGTTTGGTTATTTGGTTATGTTAAAATAATGTTTATTACGTACTTTGAATATTTTGCCTTTTAATGGCGAAATTATATTTAGCAATTGTTCGAAGCGTCATGCGAAAAATTTGCAGGGAAAATAAAACGAAAAATTTGCCGGGAAATTGTTTACTTTAAAAATGTTTAGATTAAAAATATATTATATACAATTGTCATATGTAATGTGAGTTAGCCACACAGCCATTTCCTCGATTACTACGTGACTTTTTCAAAATTCCACCCGATTTCGCTGATTATTTTTTTCAAAATTCAAGCCAATTTCACTCATTATAATTATCAAAATTCAACCCAATTTCACTCATTATTCACTGATTTTTTTGCAGAAAACTGAACACAGGTACTCTACCGATTATTATCAATTTAAATATTTATTAAATGATTAAAATAATATGAACGTATCATTATTAACGTAAGTTTATTAAAAATTATTATTATTAACATCAAAAATAGAATATATTGCCACAAAACAAATTTTTTTTACCTTAATTATGATGAACTCAGTTTACTTTTTAAACTATTGGCTAATGATCAATACAGTAAATTTCAAATCATTAAAATTTACCAAATTAAAACCATATCTCAACAGTAGGTTCAACCAAATTTAAACAAAAGCTAGACACTAAAGAAAAAAAAAGAAAAAAAGAAAGAAAATATTAAAAAACATATTTTGTTATTCATACATGTAAAAGTTTACTTATTTATATAACTATATTATTTATATAATTAACTATTAATTGATATACAAAAAATGTTGTTAAAAACCTTGAAATATAAAAATATTTCTTGGTTTTTAACAATATGACATAAAAAAAAGGCTTTTAAAGAAAATCAACAGAAATAATGCTAAACCTTAACTAGACAATATTGGACTCCTACTTATATTAGGAATAATACAATGTAATAAGACTCATACCCCAGGTTCCATTGTGTCTAAAGTAAAGAAGTAATTTAATTTAATTTAAAAAACTAATAATAAAAATACTGACAGATCCTCTCAAACGCTTCATCTAAACTTTTAAAAAAACTTTATTAAAATAAAAAACCTGAAATATTTCTAAAAAAAAGCCAAACTAAAAAAACCAATTAACTAAAAGTGATACTATTGACTAACAATTGTTGTTATCAACTATTTTTTCTCTAAGCAGTCTCACTAAAAAGTTAAACTTTTAACTCTAACTTCAAATCAAACTTTTTTTTAATAAATTTAAAATATTTACAATCTTCATTTAAAAGAATTATTAATAACTGTTTGTCCCTCTTAAAATTTTTTTGATTTTGAGCTTATTCTCTTCTTGTCACCATAAATCTGAAGTGTGATTGGACTATTGAAAGGTCCAAACCAGTGATTCTAATATTTGTTAGGGTTTTCGGGCCTCAAGTGTTTGGTTTGATATATGTAAAAAATAGACAAATCACATTGGTTCGATAGGAATATTGTAAAAAGAATCGTCTAAAGGTGCATATTCTTTAATTATATCTTGTTTCTCCTTTTCTTTTTCTAAAATTTTTATACTAGATGCAATTCTTCTTTTTTCTGTCGAAATTCCAATTCTGCCGGTAAATTTTGTTTTCAAAATTTTTGGTTTAGGTAATTTATCTGAAATTGCACATGCATACCTTTTTTTCTTAGTAACTTCATTCCTTTCTAATGGGATGTTGTCATGTTTAGGGACAAGTGTTTGAAAATCATTTCAAGGATTTAGGGTGTTTGAAGCTCATTTCAAGGATTTAGGGTGTTTGAAGCTCATTTCAAGGATTTAGGGTGTTTGAAGCTCATTTCAAGGATTTAGGGTGTTTGAAGCTCATTTCAAGGATTTAGGGTGTTTGAAGCTCATTTCAAGGATTTAGGGTGTTTGAAGCTCATTTAGGAAGTTTAAATTTTAATGATTTAACCACATTCTCATCATAAATTAAGTAACTTAATGTTTTTATTTGAGAAAGGATATCTCTACATGATGATGGATTTGTTTGCTTAGGGTATATTTTATTCTGCACATTTTCCAAAATAACATGACCTTGTGTCTCAGATAAGTTGTCTTCAAAACATATATTAGATTTTTCTTCATGACAAGATTCATTACCATAAATGACAGAATTATCCAAACAAAAGTATGGAGATAATCGGTAACTATCTGGCAATAAATCCCAACTAACTCCATCGCAATGTTGAAAGATTGCTACCATATGTTTGCATGGCATCAATGTTTTCTTCCATTCTATGCATTGGCAATCAGGGAACTTAGTGTCTTGACCTCCAATAGTGACAATATAACTTTTTGCACTTGTGAAGCTTTTTACCTCATACATTTGCTTATTCTTAGAATTTTCATGGAATGTAATTTTTAGGTTATTGCAGTCCTTCACAAGACCAATCTTTTCTATACAATGTCTTGTAAAATTCTCAGGTTTATTACAAAGCCATTTTGGAAGGTTGCTATTGTAGTCTGTAGTCTGAGCAGCGACGAATATTAGCTTCCACATACCTTAAAGAATGAATAATAATAAATTATTTGCTAAGATTATTCTCAAGACAATAATTATTAAAATTTATAAAAACTTTAATAAGAATAGAAAGGTCTATTAAAAAACTGCATATACATAGAAACTAATAAAATCCCTTTTTATTATTCTAATAAATTTGACAATATATGTCTATATTATCAATTAACAACGAATGTTTGCATTGTCATTTCAGTATAATGAAAGTATAATTGCTTTTCAGTATAATTGCTTTTGTCAAAAGTTTACCTGCTGTATGTCTCAAGTATAAATTGATCAACAAGAACTGTCACCATTCCACTTAACGAGTTATCCTTATACTGATTTAAAAACTCATGTTTGAAATCTCTGTTCTTTCGCTCAACACCGTTGTTTGTATTTACAACTGTCTCTAATATTCCACTTCTGAATGCTTTGACCCAACGCTACATAAAGGAAAAAAGCCAGTATTACGTCAATTCATACACATAATAGGATACATAATAGGATAATAAATGGTTATATTGCATAAAACTTGTAAGCAACAAGATCCTACCTTTTTCTCAGGCAACCATGTGTTTTCTATGTAATTTTTAAATTTAATGCTATTTGTAGAGATCCATATTGGATCCTTGTGTAGAGCTTGTATAGCAATGTCATATTCTTCCTGTGTTTTAGAAGCAGCTATTCGTATAAGTAAACAAAGAGCAGTGTGCTTGACTGATCTCATTCCATTTGCACTAGCAGACAACCATCTTTCCCACACTTGCTCACGGTGAAAATCACAGAGAATAACAAAGCAATCTTAAAAACAATCATTACGCTCAAATATAAATTTATTTCATATGTAACTTATGTCTTTAATTTAGAGGAAATTGGGCACCAATAATCCTAAAATCCAGGGTACTTTAAGGTTAATATTATTTTTTTTACAGTTTCTTAACTCTAAAATAGCTCTAACACCAATGAACACATTTTTTTCACTACATTTATTATTCTGCAAATCTATATCCCACAATATATGTACTACATCAGCTTTTATGACATCCGCTTGAATAACTGATAAAGGCACTAGAGGGTTTGGTGAATGACATTCACCAACTATTGAAATTACATTTTTTTGACATAATCAATTAATTAAAAATTATTTCTATTATCATATATATACTTAGCATAGACAAATCTTTGCTACTTTTATGGGATTACACCCCTAATGTAATTTGGTATATTAGAGGTGTAAACGCTTTTCTATTATAAGGGGTGTACCCTGATAGTCATCCGGTGGCACAGGAAAACTTGTTTTCTAAAATGGTGACTTAAATTTCAAATAAAATTTCTCTTGGTAGCCCAGCAGGACAACCAGGCAGTTTATTACTTACAAAAAAATGTTTATTATTAATATAAGATTTCATTCCTTGCAATTATTTAAAAGAAACCTTCAAAAAGTATTTAATTTAGTCATACACTACGTTTAAAAATAAATACACTATGGTGCATTAATACATTTTTAGATATTACCGGCCTACTGGTTATCATTGCAGACAACTCAAGTAAGAAAATATTTCAGCTGCAGGGACACCATGAAATGACCAAAGGACACACCCCTGTATATATAACAACTTCATCTATTACTAAAAATAATCAACCATTTTCACAAAAAATTATCAAACACTTTCAGAACATCAGTTAGGGCAGCAACTCTAATTACACAGGATAATAATTTACCATAAATATACCTTACCTATGTATATGCATGAACAAAGAAGCTATAACAACAAAAAGGAAATTATAATTAAATATAACAAACTAACCTTTAAAAACATTTTCGATTGATAAAATTTCTGCCTCACAGTTATCAGTCATAAAACACTTAGGGTTCCATTCTGGATTCCACTGACTTAATTTTTTTAGTGCTTCTGTTATTGTATCAGTAGTTTCATCTTGCACTGCAAAGGACGCTACTACCTGATAGTTACTGTTTGTTTTTACAACAACAAAGAACAACGGGATTGAACATCTAGTAGATTTATAAGTGGCATCTAGTAGACATATATGATTGCCATATTTATAAAGAAGTTCTTTTTGACTTATTGTCTGGTGAATAAAAAGAAGTTTTTGTTTTGTAGGAAGTACGTTAGACTAAATATAAAATTAAAATAAAAAATAATCTCTAAAGCTTACTAAAATTTATATAAAAATTTATCACATCAAAAATATTGCCAAGGATACATTTCTAGATATATTAAACATATTAAGAACATTTCTCTAAAAGATAAAAATAAGTATAAAAATGCATTTGATTTATTAAATTATTTTTTTTATAGTATCATTTTTTCCTTTCATTATACTCAAAATAATCATATACCAATACAACTTTCATTTACAAAAATATCTTCTTCATCTTCTCTGTTAAATTTTTCTGAAACTTCTAATTCTTTGCTATGGTCTGTAACTTCTCCGTAACCACGATAATAAAACATATCTCTTGGGTATTTATTTCTCCATTCTTCAACCTTTTGCTGGAGATTTTCTTGATCCAGTTTAGAAAATTTCAACTTTGTAGCAGCTTTATACATATGATTTCATATATCTTGAATTTTTGGGTAGTATCTTCTAGATGATGTTGGTGGTAATTCTAGTCCTGTAAATAGTTCGTCTTTTACATATACACGAATAGATCTTTGCATTTCACGTGGATTTCGGATCCCTTCTCCAACTAATTGATAAATTTTGGAAATAATTTTAGAATCAACTTGTAGTGACAAACCAGCCCTCTAAAAAAATTTTTGAATATTTTTGGTTAACTTTAATGGTTTCATTTTATATTATGTTTTTTTTACTTTCAGATTTAAGAAAAAGAAGGTCGCAATATATTATTAACATTAAACTATTTTTGGTGGTCTTCTGGAAGGCACAAAATACAATAACATAGAAACAAGGTCAACAAAAGAGGTTGAAGTCAGATCAGCAGATAGTTCAGCATTACAGAGTGCTGAAACTAAATCTGAGGGTTGGTAACCATATTTGACTTTTTAAAGATTTTGTTTAAAATTTCAGAAAAAAAAAATTACTTTTCCAACTAAATGACCTTCGTGTTCGTCTTCTAAGGGGAAAGTAACAACAATTTTTCTATCAAAATTAAATGTTTCTTTTTTGTTGCTCCAGTCCTCCTTCAGTTTTTCAGCGACAGTACGCTTTCGGCATTCAGTGTTTGCTTCTGCCTAAATTTAAAATTAATCTATTAATCTATTCCATTAAATAGTCTACTTTTTACAAAAAATTTAACTTAAGTCTGTTACCGCCATTTTATAATAAAGCATAATCTAAGAAAAATCACAGAAATTGTATTGTACTTTAAAATCTGGAAAATAAACCACATCTCTTATTGTAATTTTTGCAGGGCAGTTCATTTTCTTTGTATCTTGGGACAAAAAACGACTTAATATGAAAGTTCACACACTTAAAAACTAACTCCTAAATGAAAGTTCACACACTTAAAAACATTTTAAAAAATTATATATTTATCAAGATAAGATTCTAATCCATTGTTTTTGTTTAGTTGTTTTTGTATCGATTAATAGGACATATTTTACTCACATCAAATTTTTAAAAGTGGCCAAAATAAATTACTTTTGCCTTCAGTTTTTCTGTTTGATTTCTCATTTTCTGCGATATAGTATGATTGACTCCATGAGTACAATCAAGATGTTTCTAACCAACAATTATAAACGGAACTCCACTAAACATATTTTGCTGACTAGGTCGAAATTTATTCTTTTTATCTTCAAAAAGTATTTTGTGGTTTTTCAACTCAAAATCTAAAAAAACATTAAAGTGTCAATATTTAATTTATATAAACTATTTATATACTAATTATAAGTTAGATTTTTGCTCTTTTTTTAAAGCCGGCACAGACATTAAAGCCTAGCATTAAAGTCACCAAAAACAACAATATTATAAATAAATGTAAATTTAAATTAATTTTAAGGTAAATTTATTTAACTTCATTAAATAAATGTAAATTTATTTAACTTATTTAACTTGTCTGAAAAAATAAAAAGACAGTATGATTGAATAATATATACGTCATAAATATATTACATTTTCAAAATAAATAGATTGCAAATGGAAACCGTATTGAAAGTTATATGACCATCAAATTATGCTGTGCATATCCATCAAAACATGCTGTGCATACCCAGTGATTTAAATCATGCAAAATTTTAATTGAGTCATAACTCAAAGCTTTAAACCCCTCTATCCCTTGAGAAAGTAGTGTTGACTGACATGGTTCTTCATTTGCCAAATTAAGGCTAAAGATAGTATTAACAGCGTCAATAATGCGGTCATTTAGCCATTCATTAGACTCCAAAATTTCTTTATCTTCTTGTTTTAGATTCAGTTCCTGTATCCACCATGCAATTGGTGGGAGTGGATCTTCTAAATCTATAATTTCTATTGAAGTTATCGCTTGTTTCAAATGAACATCTTCCAATAAAACAGAAGTTAGTGAAGTAATTAATGTAGGTGGAAACCAAAGTTTTAAATTGCTAGCATTAACAACTTGTTTAATAATTTTTTCTTCAAGTTGAAGTCTGTAAACTCCTTTACCTAACTCGTCTATGATTTTAAAAGGACCTGTAAACCGCGCAGAAAGCTTGTCACCCATTCGTGTGTCACGACGGTTATGTTTAAGTACCATTTGCCCGACTTTATAGGTTGCAGCTGAATGCTTTAGATCTTAACCTTTTGTTGCGCTTTTTCAATCTTTTCTTTCGCCTGTTCTTGTGTATTTTGTAGGGATTGTTTAAGGGTAATTATATGTTGAGGTACATCATCGTTTTCATCAACAGAAGCCTCGCATATGTCTTTTTCTATATCGATTGAAAGACGAGCTTATACTCCATACATTAGTTGGAAAGGCGAATACTTAACAGATGCTTGAATGTTAATGCGATAAGCAATAACAACTGGATTAATAAATAGGTCCCAATCGTCACTTTCTTTGTTTATTAGCTTGAGCAAATGTCTTACCAAGGTTTGATTAAATCGCTCCATCAACCTGGAAATCCAATAAGATAAAAGTTTGTTTTATAATTATAGAAAAAAATTTGTTCAATATGATATGGTGTGTATATGTTGTTGTAATGACATAAAATTACCGTTTTAAAATAAAATTTTTCAAATTTTATTTTAAAACGGTAATTTTATATAACTATATTAAAAATATTATAACTATATAAAAATATTCAACCATCTTGAAAAAGAATTATCTGTTTTTTAAAGATATACCCATTAGTTTGAGGATGGTATGCAGATGTCATAGCAACTGTTATTTTCATTTGTTCACAGAGATCGTGGACAAGCTGGTTCTTAAATTCCTTACCTTAGTTGTGTAAAATTACGTTAGAAGCACCAAATCTGAATACAAGCTCCATCAAAAATGCATGAACACTAATAGCATTTTTTTCCGAATAGGTTTCACTTCCGCATATTTTGTAAGATATTCAGTAGCTACACAAATATACTTTTTTCCTTTTTTTGTCTCTTTAAGAGGACTAATAAGGTTGATATAAGCCGCACATTTACGTGCAAAATCTTTGACGTCTGCTGCTATACAAGACCACCAATACCGATTGGTTACTTTAGCTATTGTTGCAGATTGACCGAAGTGACATCTGCCGATAATTCCATCATGCATAGACTTTATTATATATTTTTTTTGGTCTTCATCAATGATAACTCTTCCTAATGTAAACTCTTACTCTTGTGATAAAGAAAATCTTTTACAATCAAAAAAGAAGTAGCTTTTTGCCGCAGTCGTCTTTTTTGTGCTTTATCTTAACCAGGCGGATACACTTTATTTAAAATATGTTTCAAATTCAAATATAAATTTCTTCGTCTAGTTTATTATTTATATCTTCAATTTTGTGTTGAATTTTATTTAATGTTTTTAATGGATAAAAATAATAGACAAAAATATTTTTAATGAGAAAACTATGTTGTATTGGTTCTTTGTCAAATGGCAAGACTTGCAAAAATTTTACATTATCTACCTGAATCCTTAAATGATCAGCAATAACTATTATTTATATTTTTTTAATAATTACATTATAGACAAAAAATAAAAACTGTTCTTAAAACCATCGTCCTTACCTATTGTCTAAGTGTAAGTGGCATGCAAAATTTAAACACCAATATTTCAATGAGTCATGATTGTAGCCCTGTTGAATTTCCCAGAAAACCACGTAGTATGAATCACCTTAATATGTGGAAAGCAACTGAAACACAATATTTTTGTTTGTCTCTTGGATTGTTTTTATTTCAACGTCATATGTATAAAAAATATTTACATAATTTCTTGTTATCAACATTATTTAGAATTATTTGTCATCTAATTTGGAGCATTTCTTTAAACAGTTATTGTAAAGATCTAGTCAAGACATTTATTACAATAATTATTTATTACTTCTTTTTGGTCGTGATTTTATCACTATGGATGTATCAAAAGATATCTTTTGTATTAAAAAACTTTTAAGGCATCAAAATGTTTATTTTATTATGAATAACATTAAAGATTATATTGTTCATGTCATCCCTATATGTCACTATTATCTATCATATCTATACATCTATACATCACTATCATATCTATACACCTATACATCACTATCATTCCTATACACCTATTTATCACTATCATATCATATCTATACACTATACACTACTTTCATATCACTATACATCACTATCATATATCACTTACGGAATCTCAAAAACTGATGAAATAGTAAGCCTGCATCTAAACAAGAAAGAAACATTAGAAATGTTTTTGTAATGATTTAAACAATAATTAAAAGACTAAGTATAATACAATAGATAAATCATAAAAGATTAACATACCAAATGTTCTCAATGTAGATAAAACATAAGGTAAAAAAAATGTAAAGAACAAAACATACATAGTTTTTGCCAACAAATCTATACATAGTTGTTTTTTAAAAAAAGTTTTCAAACTTATCAACCATAGCAGATGGTGACAAAGCTAAAGGTAAAAAAATTAACCAAAATAACTTTGATTTCGACATTAACTCTATACAGATCTGAAAAAATTTGCCACTGGCAGATGTTGATAAAACTAAAAAAAAAATAAAGTGTCATTAAATAAAATAAAAAAAGGTATTAAACTTATAGTATAGCTTTAAAGAATAAGTAGAAACACCTAATAAAAAAATACTTATTTAACTTACCAACTGCATCAGATGACGATGAAGCTAAAGTTAAAAAAGGTGTAATATATAAAAAAAAAAATACACATTTTTGGCAACATAAATAACAAATAAAATAAAGGTGTAAATAACGAAAATTAGGGATTACTTAAAAAAAAGCATTAAGTAGGTTTTATCTAGTCAATGATTTGACTAGATAAAACCTACTATAAAAACTTGTAAAAGTAATAAACAATAGTATTATTATGAAAAAACATATGAAATTACTATCTGTTTGATTACCCAGTTCATTTATATTATTCATTTTTTTAATTACTAACAATCTAAGTGAAACAATATGCAATAAACATTTTTAAAGAAAAAAAAAACTCTCTCCCCCTCAGCCCCACCTCGGCTATTTTTGAAAACAGAAATTAGGTACCAAAAGTGTTTAACTGAATTAACTAATTGCTACATAATATTTTTTCATGAAATTTGGCAGGTGCAAAAGAAATGCATGTAGAAACTTATTTAAAAAATCAAAAAAGCGGAATATAGATTCCTTCAACAATAATTGAACAAGTAAACATCAACATAATTTTCATGAGCAAAATAGTCAAAAAAAAGGTATGACAATCATGTAAAAAAATAACACAAAAAACAAGCCTAACTCTTCTTCTTTCTGAAAATATACTATACAGAAACGTATATACTGTTTTTACAGAAACGTATATACTGTGTATATACGTTTCTGTAAAAAAAAACCAACAAAAAATCGTTTGCCTAACCCTACTCAAAATAATGAGACGGGAAATCCGCTAAAAAAAAAATCGGAAAAAAAGAAATTAGGTACTAAAAGTGCTAAACTGATTTAACTATCTGCTACACAATATTTTTCAATAAAATTTGGTATGTGCAAAGAAAATGCATGTAAAAACTTATTTTAAGAATCAAAAAAGCGGAATAGAGTCCTTCGACAAGAATTTGACATGTAAACACCAACCTATTTTTCATGAGCCAAATGCTCCAAAAAATGGTAAGACAACCGTACGTAAAAATAACATAAAAAACAAGCTTAACTCTTCTTCTTTGCAAAAATATACTATGTTTATATATGTTTCCAAAAATAAACTTCTCAAAAATACGTTTGCCTTAGGCTACCTAAAAAAAACGTCAAAAAAACGAGTCACAGAATTTT